AAAACCAGTCTTCACGTTTCAGATTGGAACAGCAATGGGAGTGTTTGATCCTGTTGGTGTCAATAAATAAATAAGCAACCATGAATAACAGACACTTGAGTTTTACTTGTAACTATGACAACTGTGTCCTTGACGACTTAAGTACAATCACGGGGTTTCCAATTACATCCTGTTCTACACAAAGCCGCTGCTGTTATTAAAGGAATCAATGGCAAAAGCAACTGTGTCAGCTCCGTGAGCTGACGTTCACCCGTTTTGGTGGTCGATGCACTCATCCATTTGCACATCACTGCCTTGGTTGGTTGGTGGTGCTGCTCAGTGGAAGTTGCCTTGGCAGGCTGTGCTCTGCAAGGCTGCACTTGTCAGCCATTGGCAGAAGTCATTTTGGTTACGGCATCTTGGGCTGCTGTGTGTCAGTGTGGGCTGGGCTTTGGAGGACGGGGCTGTGGGCCCATTGGTGACAAAGCCGCACAAGGAGCGAGTGGCATGAGCGCTGCACTGGGTGCTGCACTTCCAGAAGTTGGGGGTTTCAGCTCGGTTCTGTGCTTTGCCTAAATGAGCACTGCATAGAAGGTCTAATGCTAGCCTTATGTGGGCACTAGATGTAAGTTTCCAAGTAATTACATGGAGGACTTAGAGCCTTAGCTCTAGTTATCACTAGGAATACCTGGCGATAGTCTAGCAAACCTCTCTTGTAAATGCTGTTGCAAGCTAGTGCAAAAAACTTCAGTGAAATAGGTCGTGAGAAAAACTTGCTGAAGTAAAAGGAGTTGTTGTACTTCACTGCATGCACTCTGGCTTTCATTACTCCAAGGGTGTTATTGAACTCAGCTCTGCTTCTGGGACCAACAGTTCAATACAACAACATGCTGGCAGGCTTTTTTTTTTTTTTTTTTTTTTTAATTACCTTATTGGTTACTGTGTTAAAATGACTAAAGCAGTATGTCAGGATTTCTCACGTCACCCCACGCTGTCAGTAAAACAATAACATGAAATCCTTCAGCTTGTTCCTTTTTGATCTCTGGGAAGAAGCAGACCTTCCCTTGAAGGACATCAGTGATTGCAGTGCAGTTTTCAAACAGCAAATGCTGCATGTATGGAATCTTTGTACGTAGATATGCGCTGTCAGTAGGTTGGCCCTTCCTTCCTCAAATGCAGACCTGAGGAGAGACTTCATTACATTTAAAGGGTGGCAGACCAAACTACGCTGTCTTCCACCTCAGCCATACTCTTTGTGAATTTGCAGATTTGTCTTCAGATCCTCTGGGATGTCCTTAAGCTGAGTATATGAGTAAGGTACATGAGATGCAGTACTGAACACATGCAAGGTGCCTGCTCATGAGTGCTGGAAACCAGCAGAGCTGTCCCCCTGTAATAACCAGCCTTGGATTCCTTGTTTTTGTAAGAGAGTGCCCGGCAGCACTCGGTTTTTGTGAGACCCATACACAGAATGATATCTGCCAGAAGTTAGTGACAGTACTGAAAACTGAGCAGCAGGGGGGATTTTTAGGAGTCTGTGAGGTGCAGACTGCAGAGGGATAGGCAGATTTTTCCTTTGAACTTGTCACACTGTCACAGAGTAAGAGATGCTCAATGGCACGAATGAGGCTGGAATGCTCATCCCTTCTCAGCTCAGAAGCTGCAGTCCTATCCAGCTCCTTTTTCTCAGCCTTCCCACCTTTCTTCTTAAAAAAAAAAAAAAAAAAAAAAAAACCTCAAAACTGCTTATCCCATCTCTTGGCATACGGCAGTTCCAGCCTGTGTGATGGGGGCCATGATTCCTTCTTATTAATTCCCTTGTTGTGACCCTGTTATCTAAGGTTTCCAGCTTGCCTCTATTGCATTTCAGTCTGATTCTTTTCCAGAAAAGCTGCCTGAAGAGCCCTGATATGCAGATGGGGAGCATTATGGATGTTAGAAAAGGAGAAATGAGTTCACAGGAGATCAGTTCTACAGAAGACTGGACTCTAATGCTCTATCCTGTCATGGGTCTTTGTAGCAGTGGCTGGACTTGCTGTCCTGCAAAGTCAAGGGAATTCCCTTTTAATTCAAACGAAGGCAAGCCTCACTTGATTTTCAGCAAAATGTTTGAATCCAAGCAAACAAGGCTAGCAAGTAGTTTGAGATGCCTTGTATTTCACAACAATTAATATGTAACCCAATGATTCCTCCGGTGCTGCGTGTTTTAGAGAAGTCAAGTGAAGGAAAACAGCAACGAAGAATCAATTTGTCTTTACCTCCCTGTCCTCTTCAGATACATATTGAGAAGACTTTGTGGGGTAATTTCAGTGTGCAGCTTGTGCTGCTGTTTCCAAACCACCTAATTGTTCCTGGTTAAATGGGTTTGGAGCAGCTGAGAGACAGCTGAAGGTGCCCCCATGAATTTAAAGCAGGCTTCTGTGTCTTTGGCATGAACTGGAAGCCAGAGACACAAACCTGCAGTGCTGACTTCTAATCCGTGCTTTGTAATGTCTGTGTATTCCCCTCTTGCTTTTGTATCTATGCTGAGGATGTTTTGGAGACAGATTTTTGCAAGCTGTGGTCTGAAGCAGGGATGTCATGCTGCATTAGCTTCCCTGTTAGCAAGTGAGAGGGTGTTGTACAGAGTCCTACTTTCTGTATTTTGGTGTCTGCATTGAGCACCCTGAGTGTTGGGCTCTCTCACTAATTTCTTGGATTTTTCCAGGGGTTCCCCCACTGCTTGTTAACCCATGGAGACAATTTGTCTTTACGTGTCTGCAATCAGCTGCCTCTAACATGCATTCTGAGCAGCTGCTGTGCACAGCCATCGCTAACCTGGTGCAGCTCATTCAGTTGCTATCAGAGGAAAAATAATACAAGGATTTCTGTGAACCTTTTCTCTCTGGAAAGGTGTCACTTCTTGGAAGTCTGAGGTGCCCAGCATTTCATCTCAAAGCCAATCTGAACATTGTTCTTTGCATCCCTATCTGCAGTCTGCTGTCTGACACTGCCGGCTCTGTTGTGCCTGGATTTGAAAGCAGCTGCCACTGTCTGTGGTGCTCTGCTCTGTGCTGCAGCTTGGCCATGTACACACACTGATTTCTTTTGGCTTCCAATCTGTCTCTGCTGCTGGGGGTGCTGGAGCAAGCAAGGCCAGTGGGAATTGATCAAGAGATGGATTATGAAAGCAAAAATCAATTGCGTGTTATGATAACCAAATAAGATGTGCTTAGACAAATGTACCACTTGTATCAGCTAATCTTTTGTGAGAATTTGTGTGCTTAATGGAGATGGAAAAGAAGTTGAATTTAGTTATGCTCAGATGTGATATTACATGATTCATTCTGACTCTGGACTGGGAAATGGTGAAACTTTTTATGTAACAGCTGCCACTGAAAATTAGGGCTGTGCTGCTTTATTTTTTTAAAACTCTTGCGATAACCTTTTCTTGTGAGTGCTTCAGAAAGGCAATACCAAAATGCTGTTTTGAGCCTGTGTAAGTATCGTATCTCGAGCACTAAAGGCCTTTAGATAAAAGGCAAACAGAAGTGAAAGATAAAAGACAGCATTTTGGGGGCAGGCATGAAGGAGATTCAGCTGGGAGATGAAGAGTGGGTGCTGCTGGAAGGAACCTGCTCACCAATGGGTAGGGCTCTGCATTTGATTTTGATGGGAAGAGACATCGTCATGGAGAAAGCAGGGAGTCAGTTTGTAGCAGAACACCCATGGGAGATGGCCATGAAGGGGGCTGGGACGATGTGGTGCTTTCATGGCAGGTTGAGCTTTCTGCCTGGTACGTTCATGCTGCTCTGGGTGCTCAGGTTAGCTTTTATCAGTCTCGTGGGGGCACTTAGATCTCACAGAGCAAAGTTACAGAGGGAATAGTCGCTTTCCAGAGTATGGAGCAGGCAGATAGCTCTGAGCAGAGGACATTGGGGTGGTTAATCATTGTGAGAGCTGTGGGGCCGATGGGCCCTTTGGTGGCTGTTTTCTGCTGTGGTGGTTTCACTGACTCAGACTCACCTATGGTTTTCATTGGAGGATGATAATGAAATAAGAAACGTGAGGTTTGGAGCTCATTCTTTGCTCGTTGATAATGCACAGGTTAGCACAACTGAAGGGAGAAGCTAAGCATAAAACACTAAGGAATCCATAAACACACCCTGCTTTATGGAGAAGTTCCTGTTGTTTGCCCAAGCATCCCATTCCTTCCACATCTCTGACCCCAACCCCTCACAAAGCTGACACAGCTTTTTCTAAGCCGCGCACCAACGTTGTGCAAGTGTTTGTTCACCTTGGTGGATTTCAAAATATATTGAAAAGAAAATTGAACTCAGAGCAAGCTACAAGAATCCAAGTGCTGTGTCAGTTGTCTGGAAAGGCAGAGGTGATTTTCTTTGTACCCTGAGTACTAATTTATCTGTGAGTTAATAGATCTCCGCAGGCAAGGAGTTCTATGTTCTGTTCTGCCGCTTCTGTAAGCCCTGCTCCTGGTCAGGGCTCTGCACACCTGGGTGGGTGCAGCCTGAGCCTTCCCTGCTGTGCTATGAACAAGCCCAGCTCTCATAGATGTCATTGGTTGGTAGATGCTGGGTTTCTTCAGAGAATGAGTTTTCTTTTTTATTTCCTAATGTTTCTCCTGCTGTCTTCTTGACTGAGATGAAGTTATTATAAACTTAAGGTTGAATCTGAGTAATGCTTTTAGCCTGAGGGATCTGTGGCTGGAAACAATTTTTAAGAAAGTTTAATATAGTCTAAGATACACGCTGAAAGTAGATGAGCAAGGGAAGAGGGGAAAATAAATTATCTTTTTACTTCTTGGCTAAATTAAAGTTGGGAGGTACAGATTTGCTCTAGGAGTCCTTTGCCTGAACAGGTCCTAGCATTGGGCTCAGCTCGCCGTCATGGCACTGAATGGAGAAGCTGAGATGAATGGCACAGTGGCTGCATCTGCAGGACGTGAATAAATGTTTTCATTCTTTTTTTTCTTCTTTTTTTTTTCCAGAACATCGGCATCAAGATTGAGCCTTTTTGAGTAGAGAACATACAAAATGGCATCAATGCTGCTTAGTCGGCAGCTGAGCTGTTGTCTGCAGCAGAACGCCAGGCTGCTCATATTTGGTAAGTGATGGTTGTGGTTTTTGGTTTGTATTGCTACAGTAGCAATTCTAGCGGAGAAAATTCCACTGAATGTTGCTGAGGTTTGTCCAGTGGTGCATCTTTCAAAACTTGAAGAACACTGTTCTGCATCTTGGATAACAATGCAGTTGTACAGCAGCGGCCTGCAGGGATGCTGGTTTTTTTTTTTTGTGGTTTTTAAGTTTGCAAACTGAAGAACTCATTAACTTTGCATGTTTACAATGCAAATTATTAACTGAAAAAAAGTTCTCCAGCCTCCACAGGGCTGCTTTTTCACCCTGTGCGGTACAGGGATGCAAATATCAAAATCACTCTTATTTCCATTCACATTACATAGTGTGACCATGCTGATTTCTGTCATGGGGAGGTTCTGCATGGTGGGTGCAAAGAGGGGGCCCTCGCTGGGCTGTGTGCTTCTGCCTGCACTCAGCTGCATTGTAAAATGAACACTGAGCTGTAGCATCAGGCACTTTTTTCCTAAGTATGTGATGACAAGTTCTTGCCTGGCCCAATGCTTGCAGTTCAGCGTGTGTGTGTGTGTATATCAAGACCCTGCAATCTCTGTGAAATAGGTGTTCAAGATTCTGGCTCGTGCTTCAAAAGTGCAGATTTCTGTTGGTCTTTTTGGACAGAGCTTTAAGTCTGGCATCCAGCTTATGTGCTGCTACGCTGAGTGCAGTATGGCTGAACGGCTTTTTGTGTGACTGAGTTTCTTCTCTCATCCCACCCTCCTGCTGTGCCTCTGTGCTTCTTTTGCCAGTGCTGAACACAAAACCCTTCCATTGCTCAGAAACTTAGATTTAGTTGGTTTTCTTCTAAATAATACACTTGGAGGAGCAGCTGACCTTTGGTTAGGGGCACCAAGTTTGGTCTTTCAACTGTTGGAAAAGTCCCAGCTCAGTGTTTGAGGACTGGCTGCCCTTCTATTTCTGGGAGTGACGCACTGATTATCTGAGCTGTGCAAGAGCAGTGATCGTTTGGTCAATAGTGCAAACGGAAAGTGCTTGCAGCAAGCAGACCTCCGTGAGCCATCTTTGAGCTAATCTGTCATCTCAGTATGGGTGCTCCACATTCCTATGTTCCTCCCAGTGTCTTGCATTCTTCCATGGTGCTTCCCAACCAGGATCACGGACTGTGACAGTTGTGCAGGACTCTTGAGTCATTAGGGTGCAGATGGACGCACAGGGCTGACTCTTCTTTTAATGTTGCGCTGAAGAGATGTAGGTCTTCAGTGCAAAAGGAATGCAGCTCTGGACTCCATTAGTCCATCTTTGCTTTCAGAAAACTTGTAAATGGGAAAGCCTGTTGAAAGCAGGCTTCTGGCAAAGAATGTGGGGCCTTGTTGGCAGGTGGCATGGCAGCTCCACCGCACTTGGGGCAGGCTGCTGTGTGCGCCTGTCTTCAGGGAATAGAAAACACCAAGCAGCAATAGAAGCCCTCACTAGAAGGAGCAGTCCTGGCAGTCTTTTATCCTGTGGTGCTCCTGGATATAGAACAGGCAGGAGACTCTCACACTTGTAGAAAAATCTGAGCTTCAGGTCATTTTCCTGATGAATTTCAGCCAGCAATCTAACAGCATTCTGTTGTTAGCTGAGGGGGTTGTACCATAATTATGAGGACAGGCTGTGACTCTAAAGATCCAGGTTCAGTTTCCTACTGATTAGCCTAAGGGATTGAATTCATCTTTGGATATTGAACTGCACAGCATGCCAAAAGGTCAGTCTTCTGCCTTAAGGTGCATCAGTTTGCATTAGTGCATGCCCACGTTCCCCAGGGACGCTGACCTGTTCCTAAAGGCACCCAGCAGCATGGCTTCTGCAGCTTCCCGAGGCGGTCTGCTCTATTGCTGAACAGACCTTACATTTAAAGCTGTTTTCTAATGTTTAACCTAGGTTTCAAAACGGGGAAAAATCGTCTCCTTACTCTTTGTCTTATCCTTGGTGGACCTGGAGGCTGAAATGCTTATTTTTAATTTGCGAGCCTTTTATGTATTTGAAACCTTCCTTAACACTTAGTGTCTTTGTCTCAGGTTATCTATCTATCTACATTTCAGTGTGTCCTCATAGGACCAGATGTTCTTCAGAATCTCTGCACTTTTACTGCAGTGCCTCATGTGAACTAACTGTCTGATGCTGTGCCTATCATATCTCAGCCCGGTTCCTCTCTCCCTACAGAGGATAATGTCACTTTATCTCACAGGCATGCTGCAATGAAGACTGAGAGATACTAGTATTTGTTATTGATTTGTCCCCATCACAGCTATCTGGAAGACCTACAAGCAAACTAGCAGCTTGATGCTCGCATTACTCTGCTGAGAAGCTGATTTGGGATTCAGCTGTGGTGAGGGGAGGCAGCTGTTCTTACTCTTTCTTATGGGAGCTTCCACTTCTGCACTGTTTGATACCAGTTTTTGTCTTGGTCCTTGGAGAGCCCTGTTCCTCTTAAAAATTTCCAGTGTGCATGTGAGAGTACTGAAACACAGTCCATCTCATGTGCAACAGCTTCTGATCTTACAGCGTAAGCACTCTGTAAATAGCAGTCTCAGTTTTCACAATATTATGCAACAGTTATGTTCACTTTGCAAACACCTCTAGCTAGCCTGGGCTTTTGCCATTCCGTTTCAAGAGCTGGTAGTAACAGATTCCACGCAGCACCTAAAATAGGATTTGGAGGAAATCACAGTCCTCCTACTTTTGGCCGTCAGGGACTCCATGCTTCAAATTTCTATCTGGAAGATGGTTTGATAGACACTGTGAGGTAGAAGTTAAAAACACACGTGGGATATTTGTGTGCTGTGGCACATGCAGCACCCCTTGTCGGGGCTGGGGGACATTCACTCTGTGATTTAGCACAGCAGAATACTTGCACTTGAGAAATGTGCCAGCATTTCTTTTCTGTCTTCTATTTTTTAGCTTTGGGAGTAATTCCTCCTCTTAATGACACTTAGATAATTTTGGTGCCTCCTCTGGAGTTTCTCTTGGGTAACACCCAGTTGTTGTGCTCTCAGGAGCAGTGTTTATCAGTGTATTTTTGCTCAGACATTGTGGAGGCCTAAGGACTTGCTAGACCTGTGGTGAACCTCCCTCTCCTTCGCAAAGATTGCTGCTTAACACTGAGACCTGCCCACAGCAGTGTTCTTTGTGACTAACATCAGAAAGTGATGCAAGGGTGTATTTACATTAATTATGTTGCTATAGCGATATGTTTCTGTATTAAAAACTGCTGCACAAGACACTTGGTGAGTGATGAGGATAGCTTAGAAAACAGGAGTTGAAGAAGGAGCTTTTCTGTCTGCTAGCAAGTGATGGCATCCTGCTGTGTGAAAAGGAAGGATGTGATGATTTGCTGGTGTTACACACTCTGGTGTTTACAAAGATCGTGCATGACACAGACTTTTGAATAGCCTCCAAGAAGCAAGAAAAGCAGAATTTGATTTATTGTACCCACCATCAATAAAACAGGTGGGTCGAAAATCCACTGTAAGTCATTCAGCTGATGTGCTCTCTGATAATTAGGTTCATCATTTATTTTCTGACTTTTGATTTGATGTCAGGAGGTGCTCTGTTTGCTGTGCTGCCCCATATTAGCTACATGTAATTAAAAAAAGTTACTAATGCTTCTTCAGAGACATACCCTGCTGCAGCTCTTTACCTCTTCACATTCTTAAGACGAGAGCTGTGGTCACATCATTTGGTCCCATTCTTACACAAAATTAGTAGAACAGGAGAAACCTTTCTTCCACTGCTCTTCATCAGAAGGTCGGCGGGTTGAGTTGGTCCATTGGTTCAACAGCGTAGCATCAAACATCTGAGGGCTGGTTTACATGTGAGTTGTAGTGCAGTATGAATTTCAAGGAGGGAGGAGCATGGCTGTAATAGGAGCGTGTAGTCTCTCAACTGGCTGCTGCGTGGTGCTGATGTGACAGGTGCAGAGGGGTGTGCTGTAGCCATTGCGGGTCGGGTAAGGGAACACACTTCCACACCTTTAGCAGAAATACCAGGGAAAATCATGCTGGGCAACAATAAAGCAATTGTCTTACTTTAAAGCTACTTTCCTCTCAGCCCTGTGCTATTTGGCACGTTCCTGGGCGGCGTTATAATGAATCTGTTATGCAGTTCTTTCAGAATCTATGACGCAGAAATTACCAGCCCAGAGCACCAGCAGAAGGAAGGTCTGCGTTACTTCTTGGAAGCTCATTAGGTTTTTATTTATCTGTTGTTTACTGAGGTTTATAAAATAAATGCTGGTTAATGCAGGAGAAGAAGAAGCATTCAGTGTTGGTGTGCTGCTGTATCCCATCACGGATGGAGTCAGCGGCACGTGGCTCAGCTGGGTCTCTTCTCCCCTTGGAGTCTCTACAGGCTGCCTGCTCTATCTGCAGCTTCATTGGTTATGTATCTGCAGTTGCTGTCTTTTCTGGTGGAACAGTTGCCATGCAGACTCCAATTTACATGAAAGCTAAACAGTGACACAAAAATGAAGTGGTGTTGCTGTAATGAAACCTATTAATAGCTTGCAGAGAGGCAGTGACGCATCTCGGATACAGCACACGGAATTAAAGCTGAGGAGATTTATCTTTGCAGACCAAATTTTCCCCAGATGAGCAGCAAGGGATGCTTTCCAAGCGCTGTGACTTTTCAGATAAACTTTCTCCAAACCAGGCTTGCGTGGCACACCTCTCTGCTGGCGGAATGGAGCCGAGGGCCTCGCGTGGCCTTCACAAATCGCTCCGGGTTAACCTGCCTGTCATGGACTGAAGGCTGTGCCTCATCCTTCAGGTATTGATCTGGGCCATAGGTGATCCCCCTGAGTGAAGCTTATTAATTTGTCTTTGATACTGCTCTGGCTAAAGGCTTGCAGGTGCTTTGTGACACAGATGTGGCTGTTAAGGACATCACTTCAGCTCAGCACTTAATGACAGTGCATGCACCATGCTCGTGGTCTCTTGCTGGGCACCTGGCTGAAGCTCCTGAGTCTATACCTCCTTGGTTGCAGATGCACAGTGAATCCTCTAACCCCCCTGAAGGAATGTACGTGTATCCAGGAGGGATCCACCAGAAGCAAAGTCGTTCTTGGCACTTACTAACTGCATCTGCTTGGTGCCACGGGTATCCTAGCTCTGTTTGCTTGGCACTGTAATGAAGGCACGTGGGCTCTGTCCCTTACAGTAGGATTTGCCTCTGTTTCTCTAGGGCTGCCCTGTCGTCTCACTTCATTGTTGTGGGGTTTTTTTAAAGCTACCTCACTGGTATTAGTTTTATTTCATGCTTGTCAAAGAGATGAGATATTTGGTTCCATTCAGACAGCACGACGTAATTGGTCTCATCTGTCAACTGTTCACACTCAGGTAAGGTTTGGATATTTATTCTGAAGGAGAACACAGAAATTATGGTCTGTACTCAGGTTATCATTATCTCCTGCAGGGCATAGATATATCAGTCAAGCTGCAGCTAAAATTGATGTGGATTTTGATTATGATGGACCTCTAATGAAGACAGAAGTTCCTGGACCACGATCTCGGGTGAGTTCTCAAAGCATAGTGGCTTATTTATTTTTTTCTTTAGCAGTATTTAACTTATTAGAAAACAAATTTTATTCCAAACTTTAATTCTGATATGGATAAAAATCACATCGCAACAGTCTGTGCCTCTTTTAGTGCTGACGGTGAAAAGCCAGGAAGGGGGAAACCCTGCCTTGCATTGCCCCTCTCTGAGAGAGACCTGAATTTCTCTGGAGCTCAGCTGTCAGCTTCTCATTTGAAGTAACTGCGAGCCAAAGGGCACCATTTGCTGAAAGGCCTCTCTGCTTCCTGTGCAACTTTGGCTACTTGCAGGGCAGCCCAGCTGACTTCTTGTGATGTAAAATAATGCTTTGGTGTGGAAAACAATGCAAAGTTTCAGTTTGCTGAGCAGTTCTTCTCTGTCAGAGTCTGTACTTGAACAGAAGCTGTTAAATCAGCAGAGGAAAAGCGAGCAAGCATTAGAGCTGAGGGCACTTACAAATGCTTCCAGTGTCAAAATAATTGTCTTCAAGAATTTGCGTGCTGCCTCCTTTGCAACACAGGAATTTGCACGGAGCACAAACACAGTGGGCACAGTTATTCTGCATGTTAAGAAACTGATTTCTATTTTTTTTAAAGCTGTGTTTCTAGAGCCAGTGTGCCAGTATTCCTTCCACACATGTGATTTGTCTCTTCTCCATTCTGCTGAGCAGTACAAAGGCAGCTTTTCCTTTTGGAGGCACACAGTTAAGCTGTGGGTGCAGCCCACGCAGTTCAGTGTGCCATAGTTTTAACTGTCATTTGTGCCCATGCACTGTGAAGGTTCATGTGGCAAGTGCACTTGCCTGGTAATAAGATGAGATTGCAAGCTTTGCACATAGTTTATGTGGTCACATAAAGGAAACGTTCTTACAGGCTGGATGTGGCTCTGGGCAGCCTGGTCTGGTGGTTGGCAACCCTGCACGTAGTAGGGGGTTGAAACGGCATTATCATTGTGGTCTTTTCAACCCAGGCCATTTTATGATTCTATGATTGTCAGCATTCAGCAATTACATTCCTGAGGCTGATCTATTTTTTTTTTTGTTTGTTTCCTACAGGAATTAATGAAGCAGCTGAATGGAATTCAGGTAATTGGTCACATTTTCTGAGTTCAGTACAGGTGTCAGTGCTATGATTCGAGAACTTAGTTCAAAATCTGGTTTTGTATGTTTAGTTCTGTGCAAAAAAAAAAAAAAAGAGGAACGTGGAATTCGGCTTTGAATGCCAAGTATATGATGCATGGTGCGTGTATACGATTGGTTAAAATCTTTTCTAGTCCGTTTTCAATACTGTAGAATTGTTTTGCTAATATCAGTGATTTGTCTGTAATCAGTGGAACACTGTATGTGTCGTTTGAGTTACCACACGGCCATTGAGAACACAGGAGTTAGATGTGTGCCAGCCTGTGTGCTAATTGCCTTCCCAGGATGAGCAGTTCCTCAACCCTTGTGCTTGCTCTATGTGAAAGGAAGTACATTCTTGCCTTTAAGCTCCTTCAGAAACAGCTGCCGATCCGTGCCATATTTGTGTTCTGTGTAACTGCAGACATCATCTGGGGCTTCACTGAGTAAAGAAGCCTGAGAGTTCTCAGCCTGGAAGTTCTTGGATCTGGAGCTCCCTCCTCCTCACTGAGGACTGGCAGAGTCATTCTGTTCACCTGGAGTCGTTCAGTCGTTGCCTGTTAGTTATCTAACAGATGTTAGAAATGGACATTTTTCTGCCTCCATTTTTTCCTTAGAACAGGCGACTCTTAACAGTTCCTCTTTATAAAAGTAGCTTTGCAGTTAATTCCCATGGAATGGATATAATGTGTCTTTATATTTTTTATCTTTATCAGATTTTGCTGTTGCTTCCTCCACACTGCTGCTACGTAAAGCTTTCATTGCTTGTTGTTTTTCTCTTTAAGAATGCCGAAGCTGTGCACTTCTTCTGCAACTACGAAGAGAGCCGAGGGAACTACCTCGTGGATGTGGATGGCAATCGCATGCTGGATCTCTACTCTCAGATTTCATCCATCCCCATAGGTAGGAAACGACTGTACCACAAGTTTTGCTTTGTCCTTTTGTTCTCTCAGGCGCTACCAAACAAGTCGGTTAATTAACAGCAACCCAACAAAAGGCTGACATAATGTGTGCCTCGCTGTGCTCAGGGTACCACACTGCTGTATTGTGCTGTGGTGTTTTTGAGCAGCTGGGGAAACAGGGTTAAAAATGCAGTCCTTATGGCTCACTTGGAGCACAGAGCAGTATCTAGAAGCTCTAATATTAATTTGTATTTGCCATTCCATGGTTTAGGCTTTGTCTGCTTGGATTTGGGTACCTTGTGATTCTGTAATAGTATGTTATGTTTTTGAACGCTAATATAATAAATCGAACTTAAAGACATTAACAGGAAAGCATGTTCTGTGCTTGAGCTAACCTTTCTTTCATGAAAGAGCTGAAAAGAGGAGTGGGCCATGTGGACTCCAGTGGGATTTCGTCATCCATTTATGCATCTTTGACATATTCATTCAATGTCCTGTCACATATTAAGGCATGGGACAGTGCTGAGTTTCACAGTTTGAAAGGAGTAGAAAATTAAGTGAACAAAATTCATGTCTTCAAAACAGTTTTTCCAGGCTATTTATTCAGTTGAGTGTGGATTTCTTCTCCTGAAATCCCGTTGATTTAAAACAGGATTTTAACTGGTCTCTTTCAGTTCATTTCCTCCTCTCCTAATGATTGCTGAACTTTTATTAAAGCAAATATTCAAGAAATGAAATGGAATGTGCAGTGGGAAAACTGCCTGAAGTGCATTCAGGGTGCTGACAGATAGAAAGGGAATGCAGTGTGCCATGTAAGAGCTACAGTGCAGCACTTCATATGGCATCTCACGCACAGTGGATCTGTGATGTGCAGCAGCAAGTAAATGGGAATGTAATACAGGCTGACTTAAATCTGACTGAACACACAGTATTAGTTTTTTCTAAGTTGAACTCAATGACAGGGTAGCAAAGTGAAGCTGCAGAGGTCACTAACAGTGTCCTTGGTGAGAGAGAGAAGTCCTAACTCGGACACCAGGAGAAAATCTTGGTGAGGATTGTGGGTGAGCTGACGTTCTCAGATCAAGGTGCTTGTAGTCATCGGTGCTTATCTCTGCACCTGCACTCAGTGGGATCTTTTGTGAATCAGCCAGAGCTCCCCAAGATTTAATAACAATCTGCTACAGCAGGATGTACTTATCAGCAGAAGGTGAGAGGTAATAAGCGCCAGTGCAGAGAGATAAGAAGTATAAAAAACCTGCAGGCAAAGATGTTCTGGGCAGTTTCTGTTTTAAAACTCTTTTGTTTTTTTTAACCACCTAGTTTGGGGGAGATTGTAACACATGTTCCTTTAAACCTGTGTCCAATGTGTGTAATTGAGATAGAAACCCCCTGAAGCCAAATGCCTGGAGGGGTCTATTGACATGTTTACATGCATGCCACCTGCAGTACCAAATGAAGTAATCTTTTTTTTTGTTGATGGTGAGGCCTGTTTTGCTCTTGGAGATTCACAGAGGTGCAGTTTGGTGTTGCTGGCAGCAGCCTGGGGTTCATTTCTTAGGGCTTTCTCCATCTCTTTCTTTCAGCAGTTTTGATCCCGTTGCAAACAGGCACATCCGTGAGCCTGGAGGACGAGTTCTTTTCTGCTGTGCTGATGGAGACAGACAGGTACAGTGATGGAGCAGGTGCCCTTCTCTTAGAGCCAGCTCTGTCACTGCTGATTCAAAGGTGCTGGAGAGTGGATTCATAAAGCTATAAACCATTGTGCTGCCCTTGACAATGAAACAAGCTCCTGTCTGCCGTCTTAGCCCAGGAGCAGTCTGACTTTTGTCTGCAATAGTTACATAATAATTAACCATTCCGGTCTTTCCAGGGTTAGATTTATTAATATAAACCCACACAGCAGGTCAGCATCTTTCCGTTCCTGCTCCTTCAGAAAGGCAGGGTTTAAGGATTCTTTCTTACCGTGCCTTGGCAAGGATGTGCTGATGGACAGAGAGTGCTGGAGGAGGCAGAAAGAGCTGCGGGGCACAAAGTGAAGGGAAAGGAAGGCATCGTCTTGTGGGGATGGGAGAAGATGGGTTATGGGTAACGGAAACCTTGGATTTGTGTTACATAACAGAAGGTACAAAGGTCTCTGCATTCTTCCTGCTAACTTAGCACCAGCAACAGAACCACACGTTTTTACAAGCAGTATCAGAGTTAATGCTTAAGCTTCCTAGGTGCTGGTGGTTGTTTTATAACAGGGGTAATTTGAGATTTCCTAAGCCGTGCTCTCCAGGGTGCCCAGGGCTGCAGCCACAGCTTCAGCTCTCAGCGCCGCAGCCCTCAGCTGTGTCTGTCTGTCCCATGGCAGCTGATGCGATGCAGGTTTAGTTGCCTGTGTCCAAATAGCCACTTGTATCATCTTCATAATCATTTTAACAGATACCTTGCAGAATGATGTGCAGCTAAAAAACAGTCTGGATATTCTCCTGTTTTGAACTAAAATATTCAAGATGGAATTTATAATTGATTTGTTAATGCTGTAGCCGAATGCTCTGCTGCTCAGGCAGGATAATAAAGGCTGTTGTCATTCAACTAGAATGGGGAAATCAGGGGCGTGATTTGCTTTTGTAATAACATTACAGCAGGATGGCTTCTTGAGCGGTAGGGAAGATGAGGTTTCCAACTGTTTCTGCAAGAGAGTTTCAAACGATTATGTTAAGTCTGTGGCGTTGACATTTCAGATGTAAAAATTGGGTTTAAAACACAATTTTCTGTGCTGAATACCTTTTCTACATCAGGTCCATTGGTTTACCTGTAAACAAGCAGGGGATCTTCTGTAACATCAATGAGTATAAATTAAGCTCTTTTGCCTTGTTAAATCTGAAGCCTCCTTAATATTTTAACTGTTACAGGTAAAAAGGACAAGCATCTTTGTCCAACAAAAAGTGTGTTAGAGGAAAACAGGGAGATAAGAAAGCTGGTTAGGAAAGAGCATGCAGTGCAGTGCGTGCACTTCCCAGCAAGTTTGACAGCATCTTGCATAGAAAGGCCACGAGATAGAAACTGTGATGTTCAACTGCCAGAAGATCAGTGTTATGTTCATCTCTTTTTGTGCTGGGTTTATAACTGTATGTACTGAAATACACTGTGCTGTTACCTGATACCAAGTTGGTAAAAGAGGGGAACTGTCCTATTTAAAAGAAGTCGTATCCTTGATAGTTGAATCATACACACATTAAACAGAATTTAAGTCTGAATAAAGTTATTCTCTGGGTCACTCTCCACATTAGTTTACATAAACAAGACACAGCTTTTCTTTCTCTTTTTAATTAGGTTACAGCCATCCATCTCTGATAAAGCTTCTCCAGCAGCCACAGAACCTGGTAAGTGAATTCCAACATACTTGAAGGCATTCTCTCCCTCCTTGTGGTAGTCTTCTCCAATTTCTCTTAGGCTGATAATGAACACGTAATGACTCACTTTGAAAGTATGGTAAGATCTGCTTGTCTTATTTCTCATTAGATGAAGATAGCTTGGTTGTGTTTAAGAAGACATCAGAAAGTATGCAAAGCTTTAAAATAAGGAAACATTTGTCAATGCAAGCAGTTGGGATGTTTGCAGCCAATTTAAACCACCCTTCACAGTTTCCAATTAATTATTTTAGCCATGTTCTTGACTGAGGCTTTTGAGGCTGAAATCAAGCACAAGTCCTTCAGAGCGTAGTGTTCTGTATGTGAAAATGGTACTTTACATCTGGAATGCTCTGTCTGTTAATGTTGTATTTTAGGGTTTTTGTTTTTGTTTTTGTTTTTTTGCTTCTTTTTGCTTCATTTTGGTTTGGTTTTCTGTGGGTTTTTTTCTTTTTGAGGGGTGTTTCTTGGTTCTCATCTCCTAAGCATGAAGTCGACTAAACCACTGGCATGCACTTGAAAACTGAAGAGTTCAGCAACAGGATGATTTCAAGGCCACGTAACTGCTTCTTAAATTAAATACCTTCTTATTTCCTCAACACTGTGCTGACAGTATTTGGAAAAAAGCTGCATTCTAATTGAGGCTTTGTGTTTTCGTTTCTTGGACAGGAGTTCCGTAATCAGTTTGTGGGTTTGCTTGTTCGCATTAATTTTACCCCTTTAAACAAGTTACACGATACAGAGATGTTTATGCACAGAGTTGTGATTTCACTGAGAAGCAGAATGCAGCCATGCAGACCTGAGCTGTGTGGCCTTTGGCTGCACACCACCAGATCTGTGGCAGGCTGTGCTGCCTGCATGAAGTCTCATGGCTCTGTCCTGGAGAGCAAAGCTGAGGCCAACACGTGAGAGGAGCACAGGTGTTTGGGTTCCCTGGGCCTCTTAGCAGCTTGCTAATAGTTCTCTGTCCTTCAGGATGAGAGGAGCTCTGCCTTTCCCAGAAACACAGGATGTGAATTTGAAAATAAGTCTCCTGTCAAGGCTAGAAATTCTAGAGTTACTGAAGGCAGATTTGGATACGTGGAAGCACTGGTATTTCTACTTAACATTAAGTTCATTGAGTTATGAAGTTATTTCTGGAGATGGCAGTGCCTTGTTTAACGCAGTAGTAGGCAAAGTCAGATTTTAAACAAAACAAAAACCAATTGTGTGGTGGCAGTTGCTAATCTTTAAGCTGGAAAAGGCTGCCAGCCTGAATATCAGGCCCGTCTCTCCTGCATGAAAAACACCGGTACCCTGTTCTGGTTTCTGAAAATCAGATCATCAGTTCTGATCATCAGTTTGATCAAGGGCAGAAGGTGGCACTAAGGCAGTCTGTCCCTGACTGCACTGCCCATTCCTGGCAGCCTTTGCTCTGAGCCCAGCACAGGCAGAATGTCATTTCTGCAGGGCAGTTTTGTGGTGCTGAGGCCGGAGAGCTGGAAGGGCAGAACTTGGGGGAGCCTCACTGCAGACGCTGGGGTCTGACTGCAGTGCCAACCTTAGTACTCAAAAAACAGCCTTATTGTTTTTTGAGTAATACGCATCAACGGAGGGCCCTTGATTATAGTTAACAACAGGATTGGTGTTTTCTTGGACAGATGTTTTTTTGTTTATCTGTAATGCTCCATGTACCCTCTTTATAGCCAGCTATAAAGAACAAAATATGCAACCATTCATTTGAGACCATAGCAGCTTGATATCAGTGTTACGTTTCTCTTGGTACTGAGCATCTCATTAATAACAAAAGAGAAATTGACTTTTCTGCTTAATGGCAAATGTTGTCAATTGACTGTGACAACCCATAATCAAATTCATGACAGATTTATGGTCTCATATCTCTTAATTTTATATGAGAATTGCCTTCTAAAGTGATGTAAAAAGTCAAGTAAGAGTTCTCATAGGTACTAAACAAGAACTTTGTGGTTATCTGCTAGTAAAGGTGTTACTTCTTTTTTTTAAGCTTAAGTCTGTTGAAGCAAATAGTGGTTTGAAATTAGTACACTTGTATGAATTACTGAGTCCTAGCTCACACTTTGTTATACCTTATGTGACTTTTGGTTATCTCAGAGTTCTGCTGAAACATTCTACCTGTACTGAGGCCGTTCAGCAGAAGAAGGCTCAGGGGGATCTCTTCCATGTCCATAAATACCCAAAGGGAGGTGCAGAGAGGACACAGCCAGGCTCCATGCAGCTCTGCCCAGTGCCAGGAGCAGAGGCACTGGGCACAACCCGGAGCACAGCAGCTCCCTCTGCCCATCAGGTAGCACTGCTGTGCTGTGCGGTGCTGGAGCCCTGGCACAGGCTGCCCAGAGGCTGTGGGGTCTCCTCCTTGGAGCTCTCCCAAAGCCACCTGCCTGTGGGGCTGGGCCCTGCTCTGCAAGGCTCTGCTGGGGCAGTGCTGAGGCAGAGAGCCTCTGAGTTGCCTCCAGGCTTGCTGTGATTTTACAGTATGACCACTCACACCTCTTACTGTGGTCTGAATAAATGAGTACCTGTAGTGAGAAAAGATGGAAGGCTGATGAAAACTGTACAAGCTTGGGATGTAGCCTGTTTCCTCTTGGAGACCCATAAAGACTTGAGTTACCAAAGCTCAGCTGTGCAAGCACTATGTTAGGAGAGGTCACGTTGCAACCATTGGGACTATGTCAGCAGTAGTAGCACCTGATTCAGGTCAGACCTTAATCAGGAAACGGAAAGGAGAAAAGAAGAGGTGAGGAAACAATGATGCTGACAAGCTAGAAATCTTCTATTGTAGTGCACAATAAAGAATGTACCTAAAATTCCAGGTAAGGCAGTGGGAAGGGTGGCTGTGCAAACAAAAGGCACCAGAACAAGAAATATTTAACTGGAGTGTTTCCAGTACAAATCAGCAGGCTTCATGAAAGCAGAATGTAGTTGAGAAGCATTTTCACCAGCTTGTCTGGATACATCATAGTCAGTGTTCTTGAGCTTGATTTAATGCATGTTTCTGATTATGGGGAGAATAGTATGCAAGGTAGCTTCTCGCTGATCTCCTTGCTGCACTGCCCACTACTGCCCAGGAAACATAACAGTACAAATTTATGGCTGTTATTTGTGAAAAGAATGAGATGTAACTGCCTCCATATCAGCACGATATTTTCCACATAGTACTGAAAGCTAACAATTTCTCTTCCTTTGTTTTTGTAGAGCACTTTTATCAACAGACCTGCCCTCGGGATTTTACCTCCGGAGAACTTTTCAGAAAGACTGAAGGAATCTTTGTTATCAGTAAGTCTGTGATGAGTTACTGCGTTCTGTGTTTAGGGACATGGGTACGTCAAGGGGAGATGTGGGGTCTTCGTAGGGAGCACCGTGGGTCAGCAGTTTGTCCTCCTGCCGGAGGGAAGCTCTTTCAAGAGCCCAGAACCAGCAGGGGACGAAATGGAACCTTTTTCCCCAGGCTTCAGTGTGGAAGGGTGATGTCTGCTCTCAGCACAGATACTGCGGCTTTCAATGTGGATTCAAGAATTGATGACAGAATGCTTTTTCATTTACTTCTGCTCACTGTGCTTTCATAAGAGGTAGCATAAGTGTTGAGCCTCTTCAGCTGCAGTAGGAGTCAGCTTTCCTCGTCCCAGGCATGGCTGGTTTCCCATTACTTTGAAACTAATTGCATTACATTCAATTTCCACTATAGTTGAGCTCAGTATTTTGAAGTGATTTTCCCTTTTTATTGACAGGTGGCTCCCAAGGGTCTGCCACAGGTGATGACCATGGCTTGTGGATCCTGCTCAAATGAAAATGCATTTAAATTAATATTTATGTGGTACAGAGTGAGTAAAATATTAACAGTGTTGTTGTTTTGTAGTTTTGAATGTAGAAATCTATTTATTCATCAACATAACTGCTGTTACAAAGCAAAGTAAGGGTCAGAGGCTCTCTAGGTGTGATGTTATTTATATTCACCTTAATATAGGTTCTTTATGAAAAAGCCTTCTTCTGAGCTTTCAATTTCTAATTGATACAATTTCAGAAATTAAGAAGTAAAGGAAAGAAAGAAAATGTATGTGGTATTTGTGCTTATTCTTTGTTCACCACACAGTGTGATCTATTTCTTCTTCCAGAAATGGTTTAACCTAAAACCCAAGGAAGGTCATGTATTCCTTGGGAACGGCCTCTCCAACAGCAGTCTTCTTTCCCCTAACGTGTAGGAGTGAGTGGACAGACTGGCTTTGCCTATTTGTACATTGTTAGGGCCAACATCTTAAACTGACAATTACCTAAAATAGTTTGTCTTACAAAATGCACATTGCAGCCGTAGGAGCCACGGCCTTCACTGCCTCTAGTTTGGAATAACAAAACTAGTAACTTGTAACTCAGGTATAAATTCACTGATTACAACTAAAGGAAAACTGTTGGTAGCTGCTTGTTTTTGTTTTGTTTATTTGCAGAACAAGGAGAGGGGCCGTAATAACGTCACAAAAGAGGAACTGGAATCATGCATGATTAACCAGGTAACGTGGGGTTTTTTTTTTACTATACAGATGTAGCACTGGCTTGGGTTTCTAAGAAAAGACTGGGAGGAAGAATTGGTTTTCCTGTCTCTGAAGTGGAATCTCAATTTTGTAAACTTAAAAAATGGGGAAAGACAAACTGCTTCCAACAAAAATACCAGGACCTGCTGGTAGTGTTCTTCTGCATCTGTCCACAGAGTGGATCTTGGGAAGATCTTCCTTTTTTCATGAAATACCAAGAAAGGGAATTAGATGATGGATGGGCCCGTAGGGATTATTAGTACATGCATGTTTTTGCAAGTAATACTGACTGTCGTTTTCATTTTTCCAGAAGCTGTGATCTTACGGCTTAAAACTAATCAGGAGGGTAGTTAAAATTCAACTGATAACAGGTGGGATGAGAAAACAGAGATATAGCAGAAAAACCTCTGAAGTCCTACTCAGCTTTCAGCTGAGGTGGTCTTACTCATGCCAGGCACAAATCTTAACTCGCTGCAATAGCAGAAAACTGCATATTTGATCTCTTCTTTGAGATGCATGTAACCTGCTGGTCTCAGCCCCATGGTTGTCACTTCTCTAGTGAAAAGCACTCTAGTTCATTTGCATGAGATTACTGACTTCATTTAGCTTTAAAAATGAGGAGGGTTTGTCTTTGGAATTAAAGTTCTCTGGTGTTGCTCGCAGTCTGTCCAGAGAGATGGCTGTGCCCATCCTAATGAAGGAATGGCACCTAATGGCCTGAAGGAGGAGGAATTTTCTGATGACCAAAGACTTGTGAAACTGTCTGTCACCTTTTGGCCAGGTTTAGCTTTCTAAAAATTGAGATTCACATTTGAGCAAATCAAGTTTTCTTTAAAGTTTGAGGGTGGGAAATTTTCAGAGCAACTTACGCCTTTTTCTGGGGGGTTACAAATGTTGGATCCGTGAGCACATAGCTTAGACCAAAGGTCTAAAGAGTGCGTAAGTGGTGGTAAGCCTTTTTTTCCTAGGGTAAAAGGGAAATGCAAAGAAAGGTAATCTGTGCCTTTGGAGTGGCTGGGGTTAGCTTAAGTACATCCTTCTTGTGAACTGCAGGCAGTATGCAGTTACATGTTTTCCCTCATGGCTCCTCTTTCATTCATGGTGCAGCACATCAAAGCTGTGTGCTGTTCTGAGGTGCCCCAGGTGCAGACACTTGGACATAACGTAGCAGGCAGCTCTCGCTCACTGCTTTGGTATCTCTGCCTGCCATCAAGGCGGTCTGTAGCATATAAAGAAGTTGCTTATCAGCTCTTAGGGAATCCGCTGTGGTGCCCGTGGCCCCGCCGTCCCTTTACCAGGCTCAGCAGTCAGTCCATAACTCTTCCTGTCAGCCATTCCTTTCTCCTTGCACATTTCCCCTGCCCTGTGCAGGTCCTCCGTGGGCTGCAGTCCCTCAGCATAAAACTGCTGTGGTGTGGGTTCTCCCCAGGCTGCGGTTTCCTTTCAGGGCTGGACAGTGTGATCTGCTCTGGGTCGCTTTTCCCTCACCACAGCCCCCTTTTGCCCATTCTGAAACCTGCTCCCCAGCAGCGCTGTGGGGCTCAGCTCTCAGGACTGCAGCCCCACCTCTGCTCAGAGGCCTCATCACCCCCACACATGGGTACACGGTGCACAGACAGTTGTTGGTGCCAGAAAGGGCTGATTGCATTGAATGATCTGCTGTTGTAAAGCAATAGTATTGCCAGTATAAATTGCCAAATATTCATTAATGCTATGATATAATCTAGGAGTTCAGGCAGCTCTCGGGGGGTGACATGTGCTTCTTAAATGTGCCTGCATAACCATCTTTGGTGGCTGCTGCCCGGGGAGGAAGGCTGTGGGCAGCAGCTCAGCTCTGGCACCTCTGTGCTGACCTGTGTGCTTTGCTTCCAGCCCCCCGGCTGCCCCGACTATGCCATGCTCTCCTTCATGGGTGGCTTCCACGGAAGGACCTTTGGTAAGAACTGCCCTGCCCTGTCCTGTGCCTCCTCCCCAGCCCCACAGTGAGCGAGCTGCTGTCGGCTGCTCTGAGACAAGCAGTGCCAGCAGAGCAGATGCAGGCCTATTGGCCATAGAAGCCCCTCCAGTACTGAAACCATCCTCGAGTGACAGTGGGATTTAATCTCAAATCTTCTGAATATGAAATCCCTTATTTTTGAATCCAGGGTTTCCTACATGTACTAGCAATCCAGCTCCTGGGGTGAAATTGCCACAGCACAAAAAGCTGACACTCCTGGTTAACATTTCATATCAGCTCAGTCCCAGACACAAACTCATTAGCCTCTCGTTAGGACTGTAATTCAGAGCTCCATGGCTGATTTTCTTCCACTGAGTGAAACCCGTCTACCCAGCACTGCTGTTCAGTGACAGAGGTCCTCCTGTCCTTCTGGAACAGTGCGTATGGAAAAGGATGCTTAGAGGCTACTGCACTCTGCCTTGAATAAATCCTATTACTCAGTATTTCAGGAAAGGAAAACATGGAGCAATTCAGAAAGTCCTGACGTCAAGCAATCTTTCACCTCTTGTAGCTTTTTTCCTGTACAGTTCCATGTCAGATATCACTCTAATTCTTGTTATTTTGGGCTTAGGTTGCTTAGCTACAACTCACTCTAAAGCAATTCACAAACTGGACATCCCCTCGCTGGACTGGCCTATCGCTCCATTTCCAAGACTAAAGTACCCTCTGGAGGAGTTTGTGAAAGAGAATCAACAGGAAGAAGCCCGTTGTTTAGAGGAGGTAACAAATTCACTGGCAGCTTTCTGTTAATTTTGTTTGGAAACGATGAATGGTGTTAGTAGGTTTAGTTGTTTTTCACTAAAGGGATGTTTTCGGGGATTGGAACAGCTTGTGATTAAAACAGCATTCACTGTTGTTTACAGTTAGCAGTTTGGCCCTGCTTTGCACAAGAGCAGCCAGTCTGCTGTCATTGTGTTGTACCAACACAAAAGTTCAGGTGCAGAACTTAAGTCCAGATGAACTGGTCTGCCACATTTTGGAAAGAGAGCATGGTGTGTGTAACGCTTGGCACAGAAGACCTGTACCAGTATTTCAGTTTTTTCAGCTTTTCTGTGTTAGTCTTTGTGCATTAAAAAAAAAGACATTAAAAAAAAAAAAGATCCTCTGACAGCTGCAGGGAAGGAGCGGGCACATTCTGTGCCTTCCTGAGCACAGGAGGGGAAACTGAAAGCATAGCAAATTGCTGCCCTGTGATAGTAGCTTATGTGGGGGGGAGGAATGTGAAAAATTGATCCACAAACTTCAGCCATTATTAAAAAGGAAAAAAGAAAAAGAAAAAAAAAAAGAAAAGAAAGCTGAATGCTCTCTTGGAAGTCTTTGAAGTTGCTTTCTGGCACTCTTGGGAAAGAACTGCTTTATGCAGCCTACACAGGCTGTGGGCCCTGGAAGGTGTGAAGGGATATTTGAAGTACAACTGACACCAATAATGCTAATGACTGGCTGTACAAGGTTAATTAAAACTCCTCCCCTTATCAGCAACAGAATTTCTGCAGTGCTTCATCAGATAAACTTAAAAGCGCGCAAAGTGAACAAAAAATGCGAATTCAGGAGATTGCCTTCATTCATGCATCAGATGAGATTTGTTCTGTGCTACATGTTTTAAATCTGAGATGGAATGGCAGCAACAGCAGAGCAAACTGTGATGATACTTTCAGCTGAAATTTGCTGTACTTTTTACACTGTGGAGAATTAAACAACTTGCTTACAGTTTGGCTCAGACTGTGGTTTGAACTTCACCAAAAATTATGAACAAGAAGGCAGTTAAATCCCAGACACAGATTTCTTGTGGTTCCTGCCAGGATCTTTTATAGCCAGGAATGGCTATGAAAGGTTGAAGTGCTGGTGCTGAGCTTTAATCTTTCTGGGAAGAAATACGAGAAGGTCATGAGAAGAAAATGTAACATGAATTGATTTGCAGGTGGAAGATCTGATTGTCAAGTACAGGAAAAAAAAGAAGATTGTGGCTGGAATCATTATAGAACCAATACAGTCAGAGGGTGGAGACAACCATGCCTCAGATGACTTCTTCAGAAAGCTACGAGATATCGCCAGAAAGGTAATCAAGGGTTTCACTGCTCGCACAGCGGCAGCTGAACGTGCATCGTTTGTTCCTGTCTCCAGGGGCCTTCCTCTCCCTGGAATGTCACAAGCCTCTTCATTAGCAGCTGGGCTAGTTACGTACACGTATCCATACAAACGACTCCTGTGCACAGCGTCATCTCTTACACTGGGCACGCAGTTGGTGGACTCCTCAATTGTTGAGGGGTTTAAACAACTTTAGAACAGGTGGTTTGGGTAATATGGCTGGCATACTTGCGTTTCTACTCATGTTGAAGTTAAAAACAAATCAAATCCACGGATAAGGACAGATGTTCCAAGAAAACAAGGATAAAGATAGATGCCTTCATAACCGGAACACGGCAGTTATGTATTTAGAAGCCTTCAGTAAGTACTGGCCTTCAGTAAGACCTACTTCATGCTTTTTGTTCCCCTCAGACATCTATGGGAGAAGCTTTTGTGTGCTCACAGAGAATAGGTGAATAATTGTGAAATCCAACGCACCGTGAGTTGAAAGTCTGGTTAGGAAATACGACAGCACTGGTTTCAGGTTGAAGACAAGAGATTTGAAGCAGTGAGGGCAGAGGAAGGAGAAACATAATGTCGTTGGCTTGTATGCATCTATTCATTGAGGGAGGTATTTTTATTTTGGAAATGCTGACTCCTGTTCTGTGCTTTTCTCTTAAATCTCTGCAGCATGGCTGTGCGTTCTTGGTGGATGAGGTGCAGACAGGAGGTGGCTGCACAGGAAAATTCTGGGCACACGAGCACTGGGGCCTGGATGATCCAGCCGATGTTGTAACGTTTAGTAAGAAGATGATGACGGGAGGATTTTTCCACAAAGAGGAGTTCAGGCCAAATGCTGTAAGACTTCCAATGAAACTTTGTGCTAATTGCCAAGATCCTTTATGAGCACCTGACACGTCTGTGGAAGAGACAAGCTTTCATTGGTGCTGCAGGTTCAGCTGCTGTCCCAGAGACGCTTGCTTCGTGCTTATAGGAGACATCTTTACTTTCACTCCGTTAGTCTGATTGCTGCCAGTCACTCACATCGCTGACGGGAGAGAGCAGAGAACTGGGTGCAGCCTAATGAACTTCGGTTCAAAAGCAGCACCTTTTTCTGAAGGGCTTGGCATTTTCAGAGCTTGTATACAAGCAGTACGAACTCTGTTATCCAGACTTACTCTTCATAGTAATACCGCTTTAAATGAAAAAAACTAAATTAACAAAGAAGGTAAAGCTTGAACGCCAAACGCATACAGACAACAACACTGAATTCAACATAATCTGTAGCCTTGTTTCTGTGACATGGCTGAGCAGCAAAACAAAGCATGCTAAATTCACAGCAGAAAGTAGTAGCTCTTTCTTTATGCTGAGCAGGCAGCTTAGGGGACTTGATGAGATTATTGCATGCTTTTTCATGTACCATACGTGAGCTGGCTTGCTTGCTTTATTATTAGTGACTATTAAGTGACTTGCCTGTTCACTTGTTGCACAACTCTCTTTCACTCTTTCCCAAGCCCTATCGGATTTTTAACACCTGGCTTGGAGATCCATCCAAGAACCTTATGCTTGCCGAAGTCATTAGGGTTATTAAAAGAGAAGACCTTATAAACAACGCAGCCCATGCAGGAAAAGCACTACTGACTGGTCTTCTGGATTTACAGGTAAGCATTTTTAAGGGTTATCTGTAGATAAGGAGGAGAAATTCGCAGATCAGCTAGGGTCTGACCTCATCCAGTTTCAAATATGCGGACTGAGGAACTCCAGCTGGGCAGCACACTGTGATGGTAACACAGTGGTTCATAGACTTCAGTGTAAGCCTGAGTAAACGCGTCCTGGTTACAGCTCACGTAAACTTTCCTTTAATGACTTAATGTAGTTTTTATAGAGCTTAATCCAAAGTGAAGGGTGACCTCCAAAATACGTGAGGCTGTGATGCTACATTTTTGGTTCTAGGAGAAATACAATGTTAAAAAGACACCAATATTTACAGCTGCTGCTAAGCAGCGTTGTACAGAGCTGAAGCCGTTCTCAGCAAAGGGTTGGAGGAGCTGGGAGGGAACAGAATGAGGGGATATGAGCTGCCGTGCATACGTCCTTCACTCTCTGCAGGCTCGCTACCCCCATCTTATCAGTAGAGCGAGAGGAAGAGGAACGTTCTGTTCGTTTGACACTCCAAATGATGCAACTAGAAACAAGTTAATTACAATTGCAAGAAACAAAGGTAAGGAAGTTTATGCGCGGGTGAAGTTTCAAGTGGCAAACGGCAGGATGTGTGTAATGCTTCGAGTTTTTTCTTTTATCTCATGCGTGCATACGAAAATATGCAAAGGCAAAAGTGAATTACAGACAAACCCTATGGAGGCTTCTCTGGGAGTAGACCTATCTCCTTAAGCGTTTATCTGAACCGGTCAGTTGCACATAGGTGCACAATTACTGCCTCCTCAGGTCTGATGCTACTTAGAGAGACCTATGCAGAGCATTGTTTTTAGAACCTCACTTCAGTATTCTTCAGCTGTGAACAAAGGTGGATCCAGATGAGGCTCACTTCTAGAAATGCGTCAGTAAAATTAATGTTAACGTAACTGTCACACAGGAAAACTCAGGGAGAATAGGAATTCTACAGAATACCTCAGAATAAAATGTACATTGAGTTGCCTAAAGCAGGCACGGATGTACAGCTACATGCCTCTGTTAGTGCAGAACTTCACCCGGCTGTAGGCAAGCCCAGGTTTTAGGCGGGGAACCTCGTGATCTGAAGCCCATCTTTGCGTTTAACTGCGGGCCCTCGGTTTGCAGCTGTTTTTGCTGTAGCTCACGTATCTTGAAAGAAGCCCGTACAGTACTGTACAGTACTAGCCACTGGTAAGACATTGATATGTTTTGTTTTTGAAAGCCAGCATGGAGAAAAGGTAAGCCATTTGCTTCACGGCGCACCAAGGCTATGCTTGGAGGCAAGGAAAGCTCAGCTCAACAGTACAGGTTTTCATGGGCCGCAACCTTTAAAAAAAAAAAAATACCCTGTACTTAAAGTAGTGCAGCACTGCCAGCACTGAGATCTTTAACATTTTTGTCATTAAAAACAAAGTTGTTCAAAAACAAAAGTGTAAAGAAGCCTGTTAGTTCCATGACGGAGGCACTTAACCCATAGAGCACTGCAGCTTTCCAGCGGTTTGCAGCGCCGTGCTGCAGGGAGCTGTTCTGACATAGCAAGCGTTTCACAGGGTGTTCTTTCGAGTTGCTGTGAAGCCTGAGGCCTCTGCACTACTGCTGCTGTGCTTTGTGGTTGTAGGACTAGCAGTGAGCGGGGGGAAGCTTTTACTGACCCTCCTCAGTGATGTACGACCTGCATTTGCTGGATGTCAGGCAGTGATGACTGAAGGAGCTGTTCTCCCCGCAGGTGTTGTGCTGGGAGGCTGCGGTGACAGATCGATCCGTTTCCGTCCAACGCTGATCTTCAAGGACCACCACGCTCACCTCTTTCTGAACATTTTCAGCGACATCTTGGCAAACTTCAAGTAAAAAGCAGTTCTCTCGCACGGAACAACTAACTGATTACGAAAGTAGTTTGCATTAATTCACGTCTTCTCCACTTACAAGATAAGTGTAAAGTCATAAACCGAGGTTTGCGTTCCGTCTGTAATCCTGCCCCAGGCAAGCTGCTCCATGCAAAATAGCACAGGCAGAGCCCTGGTACTGCTTGCCAGCAGGTACCTGCAGTGCTCCTGCGCTGCGCCCCTCGAGGCTGCAGCCCTCCATCTGCAGGCCGCACAAACGGCAGAGCTCTCCCTCCACCTGCGGCCCTGACTGCTTGATTTGTCTCAGTAGGACCTGGAACAGTCCATCTTCACAGATAATCCCAGCAGTTTTACTTGTGTCCAGAAGCAGCAGCAAGTAAGGCCTAACACTTAAATGCACTTACGAATGCCTGCTATGCAGAAAGAGCCACTCTAATGACAGACAGAATAAAAGGCATTTCAAGGAAAGCTCTGCTTTCCACCGCTGCCAAGTACAGTATTTAACAGAATAATTGCCAGCTTTATTCCCCTAATCACTGGTCTGCCATACCATGTGGATCACAGAACTGCTCTACTCATCCATCAGCCTACAGGTACCACTTCAGAGGCGTAACGCACAGCCGTGTGTGCGAGGCTGAGCAGAACTGAATCACTGTCCTTGCCCTAGAGGTTTAAACTTTTGCCTTCTCTTACAATCAGAACTGTACAGAAAAAGCTATACTGAAACGTTTCTAATTTGACAAAGCTTAGAGAATCGTGCTGAGCACCTCATTTCCACCTCTGTCAGTGATCTTATAGTTAGGATTATTTTCCCGTTTGCCCAGAAGGCACCATGACAGCCATTAACTTTAGCTGTTACGAGTTCTACTTTGCTACTTGACAGTCTTGTAAAACTACAGCAGAATTGCTTGACTGTGCAACACGAGAGCCACTATTGTGTGGACGCACAGCAGCAGTGAATAGTCCCAACTGCACTTGGTAATGCAACGTATTTCTGCTCAGAAACCTCAGTTTACAGAGGTCTTCTGGAAAGCCACAGAATCAAAACGTGTTGTAGTTGTTCTGGACATCTCTTTACTGTGAACTCTTTGCCGTTTGCTTCAGGCTGATCCAAATTAGTTCTGGTACGTTTTCCAGTTCATTTTCTTGGCGCCTGGCTTTTCCTTACCAGGTTGAACTTTTTTTATGTTAAGGGCCAAAAAAAAGGGACCACATTTGACACTGCAGTCGCCCCATTAGCAAGTCTTTAGTTATACAGTAAAGACAGAGCAGTGAAAAGGATTTATACTTAAAATTGTGCTTAAAAAAGTGCTTAAAATTGCTGCCAAGCTGTGAAAGGTTTCTTACCTTGCTGAGTTTTAATCGTGGTTCTCCCATTTTCTTTATTGAGTTCTGGTATTGGACAACTCAACAAAACTCTCTTCCATTAGCTTAAAAATAATGGGATTTCTATAAACCTCCCTGCAGCACCCAGAATTCCTGTACCAGCCAGTCAGACTCTGAGCAGGTTCTCAAACAGAGGTGGTTGAAATCTGGAGAAGGGTCTGGGGGTTGGTGTGATCACTGTCCTCATAAGAGTTTCATCACCGAGAGGAAAGTCAAACTGAGAACTGCGTTTGACCACGTTCTGGGAATTAGGTAGTTTGACATATCAGTACAGTAGTTTTAGCCTCCTAGCAAGTCTCGTGCTTTTACAGAAACAACGGTCCAGTAAGTTGAAGTCTTAGCACATCTTCTCTTTTATGATGAGCACTCTAGATGTTTTTATAATTTTTACCGACTCTCACTAACTGTAAAATTGTGTACAACGTGCCGACGAGATCATGTTAGAGAATACATAGAAAGCACTGCAGCTGAAGCACATGAAGTTAATATTGTTTACAGCATACCGTGGACAGTGCCAAATAAATGTTTAAACCAATACTTAAGTACACTTCATGGTGGAACTAGTAATTGTACACAAATTCATAACGGAATGACGTCTCGTGTAATCAGTATTCTTAAATAAAATATTTATAATTGGACTTCTCTGAGGCTTTTCATTTTACACCTAGCACACACCCAATCATCAGAGCATATTAAATAAATTCCTCCAAAGAGCTGCCTCCACAGATGTCTGTATACAGACAGCCATCATGCAAGAATCCACACAGGTAACAACGCAACAAGCAACATCAGCAGCGCTCTGCTGCCCCATCACTGCAGCTCTCCAAATATTTGCAGAAACTTCTGTCTGTCCACAATCTGGCCGTATTTGATCGTGAAATACAAGATCTCTGTGCTGTCATAGCGCCTGAACCGCAGCAGCAGCTCCCCTCTGGCATCCCCGACCTCATCCAAAGTCATCACCTTCTCCAGGGGACAGCAAATGTCGTTGCGCCTCCCCCAGAACGTCAGGTGGGCCACTTTGACAGATCTTCCTGATCGACTTAAGTAGATCAATCCGATAATTCGTCTGAAAAAATAGCTCATCCCGTACAGCATCACTCCAGCAAAGAGTGCGATGCCTGCCGTGTAGAGCAGCACGGCCTGGGGCAGCTGTTGCTGCAGGTGCAGGTAGCAGACGGGCGGCAGCACCAGCAGGGTGGTCGCGGTCTGCAGCAGCTTCAGCCTGGACAGCACGCGGCAGTACTTGATGCCCGGGAACCGGTACACCACGTCGAACTCCTCGCTTTTCCCACCTCCAGCCTTCTGCGGGGCCGCGTAAGGAGGAGCACAGTGAGATCGCAGACACACAGACGTACCGAGCGAGCGGGGCGGGCCGGCAGCTTCTTTTGTCCACGCCGCCCTCCGCAACTCCCAGCGCAGGAATTTCCCCAAGGACGGAGCCGGGCCGCCGCTCATAACGCAACACAGCCGCACCTGCGGGCACAGCGAAATGACGGCATCGGTCTCCATTGTTTGTTGCGGAAAAAGCACCGCGCACGGCTCTCACACGGCACGCGGGACGGCGCACACGTTAAATAACCACGGAAACCTCAGAAAAATCGCAGGGAAACACGGGCCCCATTCATAACAGAATTCAACAGCAGCGCGGGGCGGGGCTCCCGCGGATGGAGCCCTTAGGACACGAGGTTCCGGCGCAGGCGATCAAGAACCACCCCGCCGGGCCCGACCTCCCCGCACGCCCTCGGCCCCGGCGCACCGAGACACGTGACTTTCCCGACACGGCACTCCTCCCTTCCCCACTGAGGCGACCGCCGCGCCCAAACGAGGACCCCGGGCCGGACGCCAAGCACGGCGGCCTCTCCCCACGCCGCGCCGCGCTCACCATCGCCATGGCGCCGCCGTCCGCGAGTGCGGCCACGCCGCCGCCGGCACGACACCGCCCCTTCCCAGCGGGCACCGCGCGGTGCCGCCGCTCCCAGCCGCTATGGCGCCGCCGCAGCGCGGGGCGCTGTGCCTCTTCGACGTGGACGGGACCCTCACGGCGCCGCGGCAGGCGAGTGGAGGCGGGGTGGCGCTCAGGGCTGCGCGCCGAGGCGGGCCGGGCCGTGCTGGGGCCAAGGGGGGCAGCGCCTGTGCACGGGGCGGTCGGGGCTGCTTTCCCCCAGCTGTGCACGGGGCGGTCGGGCTGTGCCCATAGCTGTGCATGGGGCTGTGGCGGCGAGCCTCTGCAACTCCATGGAAGGCTGACGCCTGTGCACCGTCTCATTTTGGACCGTAGAAAATCACGGCGGAAATGGCGGAGTTCTTGCAGAGGTTGCGTCAGAAGGTGAAGGTGGGCGTTGTCGGCGGTTCCGATTTCGAGAAGATCAAGGAGCAGCTCGGCGATGACGGTAAGGTCCGGATGGCTGCGTGAGGAAAGCACGGACTGCAGTCCTGTTTGATGCTTTAAGCTACGTAACGCTTAAGGGAACTGCACGTTTAAACACGCCGGCAGTTCCTGCTATTGCCGTCTTTCTGTTTGGTTGCAGTGGTTGAAAAGTTTGACTACGTGTTTCCGGAGAATGGCCTCGTGGCATACAAAGATGGGAAGTTCTTCAGCAAGCAGGTAGGGGTGAGACTGCAACAGCTATTAATGCAGCGTTTGTTTCCAGTGTCCTGCCTGTTGTGGTTTCGTTTTAGCTCACATATTTAAAGGGAACATTTAAATGAGAGTTTGGTTTCATGGTTCAGAAAAAAAAAGTGGGAGCCTTTAATTAGTATCACCTGTGCATTAATGGAGAGGTGCTTATTGAAAGGCCATCACTCTGTTGTAATATCAACTGATTATCCAGCAGCTGTGTTCGCCATGTAAACTGTTTTGAGGAGCTCCAGTTCTGGACACTTGGTTAAATGGGCATTTATTTTGTTTAGAACATTCAGGGTCACCTGGGTGAGGATGTGCTGCAAGATCTTATCAACTACTGCCTGAGTTACATTGCAAAGATTAAACTGCCAAAAAAAAGGTATGTGCATAGACGCATCTCAAGGCACCATCTAGGAGTGTTGAGCATAAATGTGCAAAGCAGACACCATAGGAAAGAAAAACCACAACTTCAGACCAGCCAGAAACATCGCCAAGATTCGCACGATCTCAACATTCCATCCAAAAGCAGGCAGAACAGCTGCTAGGGCCGGATAGTCACACTGACAGGATGCTTCAGTCATGCTTTTAAAACCACATCATCCACTTACCATTCATAAAATAAAAGTCCAGCAGACACCTTGGTGTCAGCACTACTTCTTTCTACCCATTTTTAGATACAAGGCGGTGCTGAAGGATACATCTGATTCCCACTGTCTTTAGAATTAAAGAAAGCCTGATTGTTGCTTTCGGTATTTTGAACATTGTTTCATCTGTTTCCTGCCTTGTTAATTCTCTTCCAGGGGGACTTTTATTGAATTCCGAAATGGGATGTTAAATGTGTCCCCCATTGGCAGAAGCTGTAGCCAGGAAGAACGAATTGAGTTCTATGAACTCGATAAGGTGAGTCACAGCTCTCAAGAAATATCCGAGTTCTGGCAGAAGCAGCAACAGCCAGAAATTGCTTTAAAAAAAAATCCTCTAAAATGAAATACTGGAAAAGTATGATGCTGGTTTGTTTAACTAATTTCTTTCTTCAGACCTCAGGAAATAGATACAGTAGTTAGGTTTTTTGTGGAATAATTAACTGATTACTTGGGTAAGGGGCAGGCTTGGCTCACGTTTCTTTCTTTATCTGCAGTGCTCTTTAGTATATCCATCCTGCTCAGCTCCTCCTTTCCCACTCTTTCAAGCCTTTTAAAGCAGTCCTGGTACCCAAAGCTTTGGACGTTTTGTGGGGGTTTTTTAAGTTATATTTTTATTGCTGAATTAACACAGCACGTAGCTGATCTCTTCTGTTTTTCTTTTTTCTTTTTCTTTTTTTTAAACAGAAGGAGCATATAAGAGAAAAATTTGTAGCTGATTTACGAAGAGAATTTGCAGGAAAAGGCCTCACATTTTCTATAGGTATCACATTTGAAATAATTCCATTTGAAACACCATCCTCCCATTGCATGCAAATCACCCTGCTCTCCCTCCCCGCCCCTTCTCTCCTCCTCACCCCCCTCCCCATGGCTTTCATTTGGAACATTTTACCAAAGGGAACTTCATTTCTTATCATCAGTTCAGTATATTTTAATGTCACCTGTGACTGATTCTGCTCATTTTTAAACTTTGTCTTCTTTTTTTAATGAAAGAAGTGATGATAATAAGGGGGACTTAATTTTCCACATATATTTCTTCCTTTCCCTGCTACTGTATTACAGTAATTCTTGCCTTTTATTAATTCTCAGTTACAAAAAGCTATGGGTGCCATTATTGCTGTGTGCTGAAACACTGAGGCACAAATGTTCCTCTGCTGCAGCTTGCTGTAAATACATTTCTGGCACCTCCTTCAACTGGGAAGCACATTTGTGTATTGGCAAAGTCCACAAATTTGGGACTGAGACAGTTTATTCTACTCTCTGACACTAAAAAAAAATGCAGATCTGATCTCAATACTGTTGGTAAAAACAGCTGTCCCATTAGGGTGCATTCCAAGGGCTGGTTTAGTCCTCTTTCTGTTCTGAAAGACTTATTTGTACCAAGACAACAATGTCCATATGAAGCAACGTCATCCACACTGAGGATGAGTTAAATTTAGTCAAATACTCAAATTGAGATCCAGTAGCATTTGGGAACTTACAAGACTTTCACAGTTGTTCAGTGGTAAACAGTCAGAAAAATCACTGTAACATGATGGAAAGCACAGCAGTGATAGCACAGTCGCAAGGTCCCGGGCTGCAGGCACAGAAACAAAGGAAAGAGCTGCTTATCTTCAGAAGGCCTCTGGTGCACAGGGATCTCCAGTGAGATACTCTCATCTTCACTGCCAGCCTTTAAATGAGGTCTGGGAAGGGGTGGATCCTGGCTCCAGCCCTTCTGTTACTCAGTACATTGCATGCACCTGAGCTCCCCTGGGTTGGCCCTGCCTTTCCCCCAGGTGCTCAATCACTGGTTCAGACCATGACTTAGCATTTCTGCTCAATCACAACAACTCGTAGCTTCTGGAATATTCTCTGTGCTGTTAAGAAGTAGGTCCAGGGTCTGACAGAATTTCCTCTACTAAAAGTCATACTCCGTTTTGTTCTTCCTCAGTTGTCAGAAATGTGTTCTTATAATATAACAGAGCTTTCATGTCTCTCTTAGGAGGCCAGATAAGCTTTGATGTGTTCCCAGATGGCTGGGACAAGAGGTACTGCTTAGGAATCATTGCAGAAGATGGGTACAAGACTATTTATTTCTTTGGAGATAAGACTATGCCAGTGAGTACATTGTTTTGTGTGCGTGTTTCAGAGCTGCTATTTTAAACTGCAAGTACTGTAGGTTCCTGACAACTGCCTTATGCCTGACAAGAATTGCATTTAGAACAGATACATGTATATGCATGTATGAGTTACTATCTCTCAAAAATTAATATAAATAGGGTGTCTGAAACTTCAAATAGATCTTGCCTGCAAGTTCTGTTCAGTTGTGCTACTTGCTTTTACATTTACAAGAAAGATGCGGGGCTGCTGCTGAGCGCTGGCTGCTTTCAGGAATTATAATCCTTTCCTCAGTATCCTCTGACCAGTAACCAGTTCCAAACATAGATACCTTAGTAACAAGCACTGGTTACATCAAGCCTGCACTTCAGCTTGACAAGAGGCAGTTTTAATAGTGTCCTGGTGGTCATTTGTTAGCAACATTGTAAGTTGGAGCAAAATGGATATTCTTCTCAGGATTTTCTATATAAACTCTTTCTCCACCCCCAAGACTACAACTGTACATTAAGTTAAATGATGTTAAGTAAATCCTCTTCTGCTTTTTACCTTTTCTCTTTTCAGGGTGGGAACGATTATGAAATCTTCACAGACTCCAGAACTGAAGGCCACAGCGTTACGTCCCCGCAGGACACAAGAAGAATCTGTGAAGAGCTGTTTTTTAATTAAAAGACTTTCTTTTAGACTTCACATTTACCAAATGGTTAAGGCAGCTTAATAATTCAAACCATTTCATTCTGTATTGCTTTTGTAATTGGTCATAAATACTCAGTGCTTTGCAGGTGTAAAGGGAAGGGTTCAAGAGAACCTGGGTGACTGGTTAATAGAGCAGAGCTCATTTGGGACCATCCTTTCACAGTTCCTATTAGCAGAAGTACTTTTTGGTTAGTTGTGGTTTTGTTCTTTTTATTTGTTTGCTTGTTTTTTTAAAGTCATCAGCCCAAATGACTTCACTGTGTCTCATGTTTCCCCGTGGAGCATTATTTTGGGAACACTAATTAATTTCACTCAGAAAGCTAGACATTTTTGGCCAGGTTAACCTGCAGAACTTGATCCCTCACCTCTCTGTGCTTGAAGTCACAGGAGCTACAGGAAAATAAAGGGGTGATGCTGTTACATTGATGCATTGTTTCAGATACACCTGACAGCATGTTTTGTAAGTCTGTGCAGGGAAAAATGAACTTAGATTTTCGTCTTGTTTTTTCCTTCTTTCCCTCACTTTAAACTAACTTTGCTAATTAATTACGCTGTACTCCCCCCTCATCCCCCCCATTAATCTGCCTGTTGATGATTTATGGCCTTAAAGTTGGCCTGCAAGGCTTTTATGCCTTGTTTTGGCTTTGAAGCTGCTATTTAAAAATAAACATTGTGAAGGCTTTTTAAAAACACGTGTAAATAACCTTGTGCTATGAAGACACGAATTTTAAGACACCAGAGTAAAAGATATGTTGTACTATTTATTTTCTTTTCCTGGGGGTGGGAAGGCAGAACTGAGCCTGAAGTCCCTGAGCTTTCTCATGTTTTAGGGCACAGTCAGCAGCATGGGGCCTGTCAGCACTGGGAGGGCTGGGCCACCTGATGCTCGTTGCCTCCTCAGCACAGCCTGCACTGCCAGCTGCAGGTACAGCTAATGGACCCTCTGCTTTTTGCAGACTATTTTAAATCTACCGTGGAAAAAAAGGAAACCCAATGCTAAAATAACATGAGTGCAGCAACAGAATACAGTTTTGTCACTTATTACACTATTCCTGGTAAGAATATGGGTAGGTGAGATTTTTTTAGTGCTACAATAGATGATAGATGTTTCTATTAAAATTCACATTGAAGCATGGCAATCAGAGTAACTGTTAATACTACTTCTCCTATCTGGCATTTGGAAATTAATCTCTTCTGGGAATGGTTTAGTTGGGAAAAAGAGAATAAAAATCTCATCATGAAAAAATTCTAACACTGTCATCTTGGCAAATAAATTATTTTAAGCAGATCTGTTCTGTGTTTCCTGTATGTACAACAAAGTTACTTAATTTAATGCTTCCCATTTCAGTTTTGCATGATTGTTCAAAGCTTAAAAAGAAAAAAATGAAGCATTAAGTTCAAAGGGCTTGCAAAAGAGATGGTGGATGCTGTGATGCTCTCATTGGAAAGTTCTAGCCTAATCCACTTATCATATGCACACTTCCATAATGTAATTCAGGCTTGACCATTTTAATGAAAGCAGATGCTGGACCAGACCCATTAGTATTATGAGAAATGTTTCTAAAGAGAACCACAGCCTAATAGCTGCTGCTTTGTATGTACACAAATGTGATGCAGCTAGCTATTGCATTACTTCACAGTTGTTTCCTGTTTGCAAAAACCTATGCAAAACACCCTGTGAAGGACCAAAACCAGGTTTGTTGCACATACTGCCACTGCCAATAGGTCATCATCTGCCTCTCATGCCACCAGATGAGAAACAAACTGAGAGAAAGAGCCCCTGAAGCCTGGCTGAAGTTTTCCTGCAGCAGTTTTGAATGCTGAGTGCTGGGAGCCCTTTCTACAATGCCTTGGTCTCCCAGGCTTCAGCTGGTACAGCCAGGCTGTCCTCCCTGTTCCCCCCAGTGTAGGTTAACATGAACAGCTGGTACTGAATATTACATAATGAAAATAATGTCTTGATAGAAATACAAAATCTTGTACACTAATTGATTATGCAGCTAGAAAACATGGTAAATTACTTTCTACTTCTTCTGGTAATGCATATCATCTTAACAGCATGCATATGCAGACACTGCAGTGTCCTCTGTTCAAAGAACTTCAACTCAGATTACGTAGAGATCAGACTGAAGACATATTACAGCATTATAACAGCTGCATTTATTGTAAAGAAAGCAATATGCAATACTCCACAAGCTAGATAGTGTTAAACCCACTATTACTTAGTCGTGGTTAAAAACAAAAAGCCGCTGCAGGCCGGTCATTACAGCACACTATGGTGTAATACAGCTTAAAGTAAAACAAGCCATCACAGCAGTTACTGACCTTCGTACAGCTGAGCTCTCTCCCCAGGTCAGACCTTGGAACAGATCTCTGCTGTGAGAGTCCTGAGACATTTCATGACAGCGAGAGCCTCTTGGAAAAACTGCAAACAGGCAACTGAAGTTACACCGCGTCATGGAGCTAACACAAGAGTATCGTGCAATCTTTTTCTACTTTTATTCTTTTTTATGTGCAAAGTCAATAAAAATCCACTGTTAGGAAAGAAAAGAGGAAAAAATGCCTCATTTGAAAAAGGGTATGGAAGGCAAACGGGAACAGCATAGTCACATTACTTCAACTATATGCAACCTCGCAGGCAGAGAAGAGAGCTGAGGCAAGGGCGGCCAGAGCACATCCTATCAAGAAAGTCTTCTAAAAAACACAGCTGCAGAATCTACTCCACCCAGAGGCGAGTCTACTAAGTAACCCTCACAGTACTTCAGTACACAGTGAGCTCAACAGCACCTAACTTGCTTTTCAGAAGTTATTTCGCCTGCCTGCCAGTGAAACACTACAGCAGACATTTATCAGCTATATGCAGTCAAGAAGGTAGTCTCAATTCAGACACAGCCAGAAGCTTTGAAGCTACTCTACAGCTTTCTACCCACTTACCTTGAAGCAATTTTTTTTTTTTTTTTTAAGTAATACTGGCCTATAAAATCTGTTGCTAATCAACCATCAAGGCACCAAAGTAAATTCATGAACAATCCAGGCTTTTTTTTTTTAGAAAAAACACACAGTATTCCACACATACACAGACATGTTTGCAAATGCTGCACCTGAAGGCCATCAGAGCATAACCACCAGATGGAGATTTTCCACTGTGCAGCAGTTTGTGATCTTTCTTCCACAAGGAAAACAAATTGCAGCACGAAGCAGCTTGCTCACTTTCATGTCAAGGCAGTGAGGCACTGCTACCAGCAGTAAATGTACTCTGACACCTGCAGAAGCACAGCTCAAGGGACCACAGTGCTCATGCACCCACGGGGCCTTGCACCTGTGCATCTGCTACAGCTGGCTGTGCTGCAAGGGCTCTCCTTCAAGGCTCCCCGAGTCCCCTGAGGGACTGGAATTGGTTCAAAATAAAGGAAAAAAAAAAAAATCCAACCCCTCAAAGCACACAAACTACATCTCTTTAAAATACATTTTTGTAAACACATTAATAAAGACATAATTTTTCATTTCATTAGCATCTGGATTGCCTTTTTTTTTCCTCCTTTGTTAAATCAGGCCTACTGTAAAGATGGTAATTTTGGCCTACTTCTGCTTTTATTGACAATGCAGTATTTCCTCCCGCACCATTTGCAGACTATTCTTAGGTCAGGTTCCCTGATGGCAGGCGCTGAGCAGTGACCCACGCAGACAGCATCCCCTGGGCAACTTCAGGAGCTGATGACATGTCCCGACCAGGTCTCGTGCTTGGTGCCTGGGGCCAGGTGGGTGATGACCACCTCCACGGCCTGAAGCTTCTCGTTCTTTGGTGGGATGGTGCACACCTTGTAGGTGACCTCGTCCCCTGACACAGGGACGTACTCGCCTTCGATGCTGTGGAAAGGAAGTTTCAGATCATTACAAATCACAATCTTCCTTTAGTCTAATTTTTTATCATAACAAATATATGTGTAAGGAAATTTCGGGTGGTCTTTTGTGTTGTTCAAACAAACAAACAAACAAAAACCACCACCACATCAGCAACCAAAGCTGAGGTTGATTTGAAATGTCTCACAGCAAAATCCCATGAGATCACTATAAACAGCACTAGGCTAAAGAAGAGGAAAACCTTCACCTACAACCTCTAAAATGACTTGAAGTCAGCTGAGCCCAATATAGGACAGCACTGCTGTGATCCCTGCACCTTCCTCCACATTCCTAAAGCCTCTTCCCTGCTGGTGCACTAGAGGGCAGGGCTGACACTGCTTGCTGTTTCGTTTTGGAACTGTTTGGATTGTACAACTGTATTCACTGATTTATCTTTAAGTGACTCCACCATAACACTCAGTTTGTCTCTGGTATTTAAAAATATTTAAAAAAAAAAAAACCTTCAAGTAATATACAGTGTCAGCAGCTTTGGGGAAAAAAGTGAAGGAGAAAAAAGCCAGTGGTTCTGATGTGTCACAGCAATGCAGCTCTCCTCCAGCACCTCTGACTCCCACAGGTCACACACTCGCTTCTACCTGCTCACTACCAGCCATGCTGAGCAATGCTGGAGGACTCCCATCCTGCAGCTGTTACTGTGATACGACTGTGAGTCTTATCTGGGGAAAGAAATAACAGCTGGCACCTTTTGACCAGAGCAACATACTGATGAGACAGAGCTGCAAAGAGTAACAGCCTTCCTCACCTCATGTTCAAGATCAAAGCTTTTTAATAAAGAATCTCAGCATGTGCCAGTGAAGTCATGCAGAGATGCCTTCTGAACACATTTGCCTAATTCTTTGATAGGATGTTACTTCACAAGCCCACGCTGAGGACTCCCTTCCTTGACAATTCATGCTTTAGATTTCTTTTTGTTCAGATATTTTTCAGTGGATACAATTTGTGAGCAGTGAGAGCAGGACAGAAGAACAGATACACACTAATTATAAAATCTATCAGATGCCTGATTTGCATGACTTGCTCACGTACTTTTTTAGAGGGTTCAGAGGGAGGAAAAAAGCCCTTTCTGGACAGTTGTGCTTGTTTTGCCTTCACTGACACCATGCTCACCCCACCCAGGAATTTTACCTTACAAATGCACTGCAGGAACCTAAGACTTCAGTAGTGCCTTTCATGTCCTCTCTCTTTATTGTTAATATTTTTGCTATTACAGGAAAGACAGACAGGACTGATAAGAGACAAATATACTGTCACTTGCTGCCAGTTGCAACTTCACATCAGATTTTGCTTCTCCCCTGAGTTCTGTAAAACTCAGTACAACACTGCATCACTTGCACTGCCTTTCTCCCACTCTTCCTACTTCAGAGCTACCTCAGCTTCTGCTCCCTCGACTCATGCATCAGAACCACTACTGGAGAGCTGGTGTTGGCAGGCTGCAGCTGAGCAGAAGCAGCCTGCAGTACAGGACAGGCTGGCATGTACAGTGGAAGCTAAAACTGACCCAGAAATCTTATCTTCTCACATGGGAAGTTGAGGAAAAGAAACAAACTTTATTCTTCACTGACTGATCCTATCAAGGCAATATTGAAAATGTTCCCATATCTAAATACAGATCTACAGTCTGTTACAAGGAGTTAAAGGCATTCCTGTCACTTGAAACATATCCTTTAGACCCTATCTGCCATACACCAGACCCAAGAGGGAATGTCCTAAGATGAACTCTTCAGGGTGGTGCCTGGGAAAGTGGCAGTAAATTGCAAGCAGAAAAAAAATATTTACAGAAAAGCCAAGCTAAATCCTCCTTGATCAGCCCTGACAGCCTTTCCTCCCCATACACCTGATCCTACTGACATTTACTTACCTCTGAAGTCCCCAGATGAGCTGTCATCAGCACAGCCCTGTATCATACTGAAGTACTGCACTGGGGTCCCCACCTCTAGACTCTTGCTATGGCAGTCTTCTTCAGTTACTGCCTTTATTTATAGCCCTCAATTCCCCTAACAGGTTTGAGATTTCTTTGGGAGTGAAACGTTTGCACATCCAGTATTTACAATCCTCTCGGGAGCAGAGATTCACCTGATTCTGATAAAGCAACACCCTTGTTGTCACATGGCCCTTGTATATGCTTTCTCAAGTACTGACCACTGCAAATGAGAAAAAGATCAGCAAAGCACAGTCTGCACACCAGAACAAGACATACGTGTGTTCCCATTGCAGCTGGCTTGAAGTCCTGGCAGGGCCTTCTGAGAAAGTTTCAGCCATAGATGAAGTCAAGAACTGTCCACCCTCCTGCTACTCATTAGTGCAGCTGAAGCACACATTAAGAGTTAGCAGACAAGCTTGATGAGAAGCAAGTTCATGCCACATTGT